ATGGTGATTCAAATTTTCTGTCCATTAGCAGTCCGAGTAGTTCATCAGGAAACACATCCAGAAAGTCTTGAACTACTAGAATCTCTCGAATATAAATTTTTTTCTTAGATTTGCCTAGTTAAAGAAAACAACCAAGTTAAAGTGCTTTGTAATAAGAAGGTTGTCATGAAAAAATAATGTTTAAAACTTTTATTAATTTGTAAATGACTCTTCATTAGTAGGGTTGAATACAAGTTTCTTATGAAAATAATCTACGATCTGCTAGCCAATTCATTCCTAAGATTACATTAAAGTCCCCCGAGTTAATTTTTATTAGGTCCACACTCAATTTTTTATCCGTTATATCTATAATATAAGTTCTATATATAACCTCCTCTAATAATGTCCTATTCCCAGGAGTAGACAAACAACACAGAATCAACTCTTTTAGGTAATAGATTCAAGTTTGGTGTAAAAACATGTGAAACAAATAAATGTGAGGTACTAATATCAATCAAAATATATGCAAGATGATTACAGATAATGTACATACCCTGTATCACGTCTGGGTTGGCTTCTGTATCTTGCTAAGTGAGGTTATAAGCTCTGTTCTAAACAAGAGGTCTGACCTGGTTCTGATTTCTCGGACACTCTCTCACGTAATACTGGGCACTATCACATATACAGCAAATATTATTGAAGCGATAGCAGGGTCGGTTCTCATGATCTTTACCACAGTGCTGGCAAGTCCTACCATGTCCTGTTACCAGAATCTGAGGAAGAGCCTGAGTCACTGGCCTAGGTCTCTTGTTCTATTGAACAAATGCAGTGGGTACTAGACTGCGGTGTGAAACCGGGGGCCTGAGGTTCCCTACTGCTTGAGAAAAAATGCGAAGGTTTCTCTCCACTAGCTGTGCCTTAGCCAAAATAACTGAGTAGGTACTGATCTCGAACACATACAGCTGTTGTCTAATCTCAGGACAGAGGACTCACTCGAACTTCCTTACCTTTTTGCCTTCATCCATCATGCTCTTAAGGGAATACCGGCCCAATTCTAAGAACTTCCGAGCATACTCTGACACAATCATATCACCCTAAATTAAGAGTGCAAACT